TGGATTGGCACATGGCCTGTGTGGAACAAAGCAGCTCTGCTCTCAGCTGGCCTTGCTGATGCCGGCAGTCAGCCGCCAGATGAGCGAGGTTGCCTGGTTGGGGTGGGGAGGAACGGGCTCAGCTGGGCGGCTTCTCTCTGTTCCACGTGGTCTCTCATCCTCATGCTGGGGGGCAGGTTACAAGACAGAGATCAGTGTGAGCATAGTCTCCTGAGGCCCAGCTTGGTCTTGACACTGGGTGGGTTCTGCCCCTTTCTGTTGGTCCAAGCAAATCGTGATGAAGGCCTAGGGTGATAGCGTCCCTCTCTCAGTGGGGAGAGCTGCACACATTGACACCAGAAGGTGAGTCCAGCTTGGCCCCACTTGCTCTCAGCGCAGAGTGCAAGCCGGGCTCCGGCCTCCTTCACCTGATCTTCCTCCAGTGTGGCCAAGGGGAGGGCCCAGGCCTCCTGCCTCTTGAGAGCCTCTGAGAGGTGGGCCGCGTGCCTCTGGCTCCCGCAGGAGGATTTTGCCTGATCCTTAGGTGTTGGTCTCCTCTGGCCCACAGAGTGGAGAATTTATTGCCAATATTTATCTGAAATTTATAGAGGGTTTAAACTGTTTCCCTTGAGGCTGTGATGGTAGGGCCTTTAAATTCTCCCTCTGTATAAGCATCAGTCTCCCAGGGAACGTGGCAGGAGACAGATCTGCCAGTCAGATGATGTATTGGTCCCTGGCTTCAAAATATGTGAACAATTACAAGGTCATTAACTCCAACACAGAAAAGAGACCTGCCCCGGGCGTGGGGACGCCGTGCACCAGTGCCACTTGCCCGAGGAGTCGTGCAGGGTAGGGGCAGGGGGGCTGTCCTGTTCTTTCCCTGTTTTGCAGGGATTGGAAAGGGGATGTTGCTGAGGGCATGGGGGTTCACTCTCCGACTTTATCACTCCTGAGCTAATGGCACTGCTGAAAAGCCAGGTCACACAAGCTGTGGGCCCGTGTGGTTAGAGGCGCTCCACACACCCTGAAAGCTCAGGGGTCTGCGGCCCAAGCCTGGAGACTGAACCTGCCCAGCCCCCAGCCATGAAGGTCCTTAGCTAATGATGGAAGCCAGCCGACTCCCACCACCCGTGAGCCTCTCCTCTCCCGTAGCTTCGGTCCTTCTAGAGACATGGTGGGGGACCCGAGGGCCGAGAGACCTGAGGCTGCATTCTCCCAAGAAGGGGCCTCGGTGCCACCTGCAAGCTCAGCACACACCGACGGGGCTGGAACCCGCGGACCCGGCTTGGGGAGGCCTTGTAGACCGCCAGCAGTCTTACCAGGTTCCCGCGTGGAATCTTCCCAACGCCTCAGAAAGCCCCGGGGACAGAGTGGCCGTAAGTGGCTATGGAGTCCCTAAAGGGAACACATCCATTCCGCAGCTGTTTATCAAGCACCTACGGTGCGCCCAGCCTCGCTATGAGCACTGGGAGGCGGCCGTGAGCAGAAGTGACAAAAACCCTGTCCTGTGGACCTGAGTCGCGGGGAGGGGCAGGCGGAGATGGGGATGGACAGGAAGCGGCACCATACTGAGGGGTGTGAGCCTCCAGTCCAGACACCCAGCCGCGGTGTAAGGACGGTGGCCCTAAACAGGACGTAGGGAGAGGACTCACACTGAAGGCTTGATGGCGACATCTGAGGTTTATTTTTACTTTTTATGTGTTCAGACAGCGTCTCTCTCTATTACCCAGGTTGGAGAGTGTTGTGTGATCTTGGCTCACTGCAGCCTCAACCTCCCCAGCTCAGGCGATCCTCCCACCTCAGCCTCCCAAGCAGCTGGGACCGCAGGCACACACCACCACACCCGGCCCGGCTACTTTTGTTCGTTTCTATGGAGATGGGGCCTCACTATGCTGCCCAGGCTCACTTGTTTTTTTAATGGACAAATGGGACTGTCCCCGTTCACGGGGTGCAGCGTGCCACGCTCAGGTCAGGTGACTGCACAGGTGCCATCTCTACATTTCCGTTTCCTTGTGTGGGGGCTCGGCTGCTCCTCCCAGCTGCCGTCTGGGTCGTGGTCAGGTCCGCGGTCCTCCCTCAGCGGCACCGGCACCCACTCCTCTCTGCCCGTGGTTTTGGTCCTTTTTTTTTTTTTTGAGACGTAGTCTTGCTCTGTCGCCCAGGAGTACAGTGGTGTGATCTCAGCTCACTGCAACCTCTGCCACCCAGGTTCAAGAGATTCTCATGTTTCAGCTTCCTGAGTAGCTGGGACTACAGGCATCTGCCACCATGCCCAGCTAATTTTTGTATTTTTAGTAGAGATGGGGTTTCATCATGTTGGCCAGGCTGGTCTCGAACTCCTGGCCTCAACTGATCCACCCGCCTCGGCCTCCCGAAGTGCTGGGATTACAAGTGTGAGCCACTGTGCCTGGCCGGTTTCGTGCCTTTAATCTCTCTGGCATTGGAGCTTTGAAGGCCGGAGGCAGCAGAGCATGCAGAGACCTGGGAAGGATGCCCGGCGTGGGCACCACCTGTGCCAAGGCCCTGAGGGGTGCGTGTGGGGGTGCTGGGAAGGCCACGGTGCTTTGAACCCAGGGGGTGGGCAAGGCGGGTGTCAGGAGCCCCTGGGGGGCTTCGTGTTCCCCGGGGTGAGGCCCGAGGACAGGATGCTGTGGTGGGTGGGGGGACCAAGTCTGTGGCCTCAGTGCTGGGGGTAGACAGGGAGGCTGAAGCTGCTGGAGGCCGCCCCAGAGGCCGGTGTGCCAGGTGCTCCTGAAGACGGGCGGGTGGATGATGGAGGACGAGGCTCTGTCTCACCCTTGTGGAGCTTCCTCCATTCTGACCCCTTCTGGTGAAGGGCGGCTCCGAGGCTCTTTCCCCCGTGGGCCCCCACCCCGTCCTTCTCGTGAAACCTGGGTGGTCTCAGGTTGAGGTGGAGACATCGGCAGAGTGGGAGGGCGGCATATGGGGTTCACCAACAAGGCCCCCTCCCGCCGCGAACAGAAATCCCGATGCTGGTCTCGAAGGCAGAAAGGAAGCCCCGGCTCAGGGGCCTGGAAAACCCCAGGCTGGGCTCCCAGCAGCTCCAGGCCAGCTTTTCTCAGACAGGCTGTCCCACAGCAGAGACAACAGACAGAACCCAGAAACCACGACGCTCCCAGGGCACCTCCTGCCACGAGGTGAACCCGATGCAGAAACGCGGTTCACTCCCTCGGGACGCAGAGGCCAACCTCAGCCGGGCGCAGCAGCACAGACTCCCCCGTCCCGGGGAAGGAGCCGGAGCCCTGTGGGTGACGTGGGACTATGGCGTGGGGTGTCCCGGGCCGGGCTGAGCAGCGAGGAGGCTCTGGGTCGCCGGACTGGGGCAGGGAGACTGGCGTTAGCCGCGTGCTGTGTAATCATCTCCTCGAGGAGGGAGCGTGTCTGGGTCTGTCCTGCGGCGGGTGGTGTGGGAGAGGCCGTAAATGATCGGCGACATGGACTCCCGGTTCTCTCCCGCCTGGGACTTGGCTTCCTGAAGGCAGAGAGTCGCGGGGAGGGAGGAGCCCCCTGCTCCTCACACGAGGGACTGGGGCTCTGGGGTGGGCTGACAGGCAGCCCCCGAGGATGCAGCTGGGGGCCCTGTGAGGGAGGCCCTCTTTGGGAAAAGGGGTCTTTGCAGACGTGATTAAGATAACGGCCTGGAGATGAGAGCAGCCTGGACCAGGATGAACCAGAGTCCAGGGACGACTGAGGGATCCGAGCTCCGCTGGGCAGAGGTTCCGCCCTGTGCGCCCCCACAGCTGGCACTGCCCTCGGCACCTTCTCAGCACCGTGGAGGGAACGGGCAATGCCAGGGCTGCCCACCCTTTCTCGGGTGGTGGGGGAGATTCAGGAGATGAGGCAAGCACAGTGCCCGCCCGGGGCCTGGCACACACGTCCAGCGCGGGAGGCTCAGGGCTGAAGACCTGAGCACAGCGGAGCTTGGGCCATGTGGATCAGACCCCTTTGTTCATGGTGACGTCAGCCTGTGGGAGGCACCAGCATTTTTTTATGGGGTGGATGGGATGGGACAGCACAGGATAGAGGTGGATAGGATGGGACAGGGGCTGGCTCAGGGCTCTCCAGGGAAGCAGATTAATAGCAGACATGGGTTTAGATGTGGATGTTCATCTAAGGAATTGACTCACGGTTATGGAGGCTGAGAATACCGAGACTGGCTGTCGGCTGGCAGGCGCCCAGGGGAGCCGGTGGCGTGAGTTCCAAGCCTGAAGGCAGGAGAGGACCCACGTCCCAGCCCGAATCGAGCAGAGTGTGAACACTCCCTTCCTCAGCCTTTCTGTCCTACTCAGGCCTACAGGGGACAGATTTAAACACGGCTCCCACCAGAGGCCATGCACAGACCACCCAGAATAAGGGGAGAGCAAATGTCCCGGCGCTCTGTCCCCTGCCACGCTGACACAAAACGAACCCTCACAGGCAGGACAGCGCGGCGGGACAGGCCAGTGTTCAGTGAAACGGAAGCACAGAAGGATACGTAGTGACAGATACATCTCTACTGTGTGGGGGTCGGAAAGCCGGGGCTTCGGGCGTTTATTTGCTGGGCTGTTGTTCAGACCCAGGCTGCGTGTGTTCTGGGCATGTGTGGAGCAGCATCTGCACAGCAAGCGGCTGTTTGTAAACAGATTGTTGGTGTGTTCGGGTGCTGGGGGAGGTGGGTGGTGCAGTGGGGCGGGGGGTTCCCTGCACAGAACAAGCACTGGGGGTGGGAACCACAGGATGAAAAACCTGTTAAGTCTTCAGGTCGGTGGAATAACTGCCCCACCAGCCCCCACGGCACAAGAGAAAGAGAAGCCTGCACCAGACACAGCCCAGACCTGCACCTTCTCTGTGGGCAGGGTCCCCTGAAAACAGCCCCCAGGAGGCAAAGCCCTGGGGCCCACGAGGCCTGCAAGTGCCCCGGGAACGAAGGGCCGGGCCCCTCGGCCTCTCACAGGCCCCTGGCTGGCTGGGCTGCCCGCCTGTCGGGAAGGCCGCCTGCACCCAGCGCCGTCTCCCTGTAGGTGTGGCAGTGTGGTGGCAGCATGGAGGTGCTGCCCTGCTCCCGCGTGGCCCACATCGAGCGCACCAGGAAGCCCTACAACAACGACATCGACTACTATGCCAAGCGCAACGCCCTGCGCGCCGCCGAGGTGTGGATGGACGACTTCAAGTCCCACGTGTACATGGCCTGGAACATCCCCATGACGGTGAGTCCCCCACGGCCGGGAGCCGGGGCCACGCCCCAGGGTCGGGCTCAACGTCATGGTAGGGCTGGGCGCAGGGAGGCCCCGTGCAGTGTGAGCCGGTGTGAGTGGGTGAGCTGTCTGCCTGCGAAGGAGCCTTCCTCACACTGGGAAGAGACCAGCTCACACCAAACCTGTTGTGGTGGACGTTTTTCTCTCAACTGCTGGTGGTTAGAAGCCAGGGAGGGGCGGCCTCTCCCCAACCTGGTGCCGCTGCCTCAGCCAGGGCCCCACTTAGCACCCAGCGCGGCCCCCTCCCCCAGCCCTGGGCAGCCTCAAATGCCTGGCTGTTTCGTGAACGGCTCGTACACTGTGTGGCTTCCCACCCTCAGCACCACATTTTCCAGGTTACCCCCGCCGTGGCTAAGTCACGTCCACGGTGTGAACGGGCCGGTCGTGTGGATCCTCCTTCGTGGATGGATATTCTGGCTGTTTCCTGTTGGGTTTTGGCCTGTGAGTGGCTGACCTGCTTCAAGTCGAGGATTGCTGTTTGTTTTCTAATTTGTAGTCGACCAATTTCCCATAAAGAGCCTGAATTCTGGCTATTCTCAAAGCGCCCCAGCCCCCACAAGCCTAAGAAGGGCAGGTGCTGAGACAGGAGGTCGTGACCCTCCGCCCATCCCGCCACCCACCAGTGTCTCTGGGAACCACGCCCTTCCTTCCCTGGCCCCTGTAGGCATTGGGTCCCTGAGTTCTGGGAGGACTCATCTTAGAAACAGCCTTGTTTTTTGCATCAACCCCAGTAAGAACCAGATCTTAAGTCATGACCCAGTGTGCACACACACGTGTATATTTACATCTGTCCACATACAGCACTTTGCATCCACAGTACCAGTCATCCTTCTCATTCACAATATACTACTTCTTAAAAATTCCACTATAGCCCCTAAATTGGTTCACCACCCCCTGCTGGACTGCACCCTAGCGTGTGGGCGACACGGCCTGGAGGGGAGCCAGGCTGGACCATTCACCGTGCAAACCCAGCATCCCACCCCCAGATCAGCTCCCACGGCAGCTTCCATCAGGCAGGTCAGGAGTCTGTGGACACGTGCACTTGTGTCTGAGAGATGAGAAGAGGGTACCCGGTGCTCCTACAGCCTTGTTTTCCATGAAGTGATTTGGAAAAGGTGCAGGGTGACAATGTCCCCAAGTGTGTGGGCAACTGAGGGGCTCCAGGCCCCCAGGCAGTGAGGCCGGCAAATGGCTGTCACCTCCCTGTGACCAAGGGCCCCGGCGTAAGCCCCTTGACTAATCAAAGCCTCATAACAAAGCAACGAGTTTCTAGTGTGATCGCCCCACTTTACCAATGAGAAACTGAGGCACAGAGAGGGTAAGGGACTGTCCCAGGGCCACACACCAGAAGGTGACAGGATTCAAGCCCAGGCCCCGCAGGCCAAGTTGTCTGCCCTCCTCACAAGGCCTGAGCCTGGAGGGTCCCTGGGCAAGAGGCAGGTGCTCCCTCAGGGCTGGCTGTCCATCAGAGAGTGCTGGTCCCACAGCCCCTCAGGCCTCACAATCCCAGGAAGACACAGACCCCACACTCGGCTGTGGGTTCTCACGGCAGAGGACACGGGTCAAAGTCGGCAGAGGGAAGAGATGCCCGGGCCAGGCCCAGGAGAGACCAGGCGCGAGCTCCCAGGTGTCCCCTCCCGCGGGGTCCCATGGACTTGATTCTCCAGCACCCATGCGTGACAACACGCGCCAGGCGGGGCCAGCCAGGAGCCCCCGAGCCTCGGTGTCCAGGGTCCTCACCGGCCTGGCCTCGTGGACATGGCTGACCTTGGTCTCCACCCTCCAGTGGTCACGCCAGGTGAGCAGGGCCGTGTTCTCAGGCAGGAGGTTCCTGGGCCCAGGTGGGTGCGGACTAGCCGGCTGCAGCAGGGGCCATCTGTCCAGGCTGGGGCTGGTCTTCAGCAGGGCCCTTCCCCTTGGGAGCAGCTGCCTCAGACCCTCTGTGGATAGTGGGAGGCTGGGGGTCCCACCTGGGGGAGGCTGCTCCTGTGAGGGGACTCAGTCCCTGGAGCCCCCCCAACCTCATCAGGGGGACAGTGACACTCATGTGCCCTCCCGCCCACTTCCGGCCTTGCAGAACCCAGGGGTGGACTTCGGGGACGTGTCTGAGAGGCTGGCCCTGCGCCAGAGGCTGAAGTGCCGCAGCTTCAAGTGGTACCTGGAGAACGTGTACCCGGAGATGAGGATCTACAACAACACCCTCACGTACGGAGAGGTAGCGCCTCCCCCGAGGGCCCCGCGCAGCCCGACAGGCCTTCTGCCCTGACTCCCGCACACACGTGTGCATTCAGGGGGAGGCACATCCACGTGCACACACACGGTGCAGGTTCACATGAACACATGCACCTGCAGACACGCATGTCCATACACACCTATTCCTTCACAGGGACCTGCCTAGAGGCAGACATGTAGTACTTCCATGCATACACGTGTTCACATGCCTGATTCAGATGTATGCACTCACATGTATGTGCACACAGGCATGCATGCACTCACCTAGACGTATGTACAGGGACACATTCACAGGCATGTACGCAAATCCATGCAAACATATGTACAAGTGCACGTGGACACGAGTATACATCTGCACACAGTTTTGCTCATAGACAGAGCTCTTCATACACAAATGTATGTTTCACTAAGTGCATGAAACCCAAAGGGGCCTGCGTGTGCACAGATATACAAGCACTTATCAAGGTGCAATAATGTGTGTGTGTGTGTACACATCTGCATCCACATATGCAGAGCCGTGTTCATACCCCACCACGTGTGCATGCAGGTGCCCACACAGACACACACGATGGGTGATATGCACGTCCACACTCATACAGGCACATCAGCTACACAGAGGCCCCGTCTCCACCAGCCCCCACCTGCACTGCGCTCTGTAAAGCCAGCAAGAAGGTGCTGCTCTTCTGCCCTCCCCCCGGTCTATGCAGGGGACAGGGTGCCTCCCACCATGGGACTCGAGTGTCCCAGCCCTGAGCTGGCATTTGGATGGGGCAAGGAGAAGGGTCCCTGGGGTGGATGGTCCTCGCTGAGCCTCCCCTCCCTCAGCTCCTGGTCCACGCCGTGCTGACTTCAGTCCCTTGGGCACAGTGGTGTCCCAGGCAGCGCTGAGAGTGCATCGGTGTGCCGCCCCATCCCCCAGCCTCCCTGTGCTTCTGCTCTGCCCACTCCATCCTCCATCAGCCAAGCTCAGGCACCGCCCACCCAGAGCAGCTGGGCGTTTCTAATTTGTAGTCAACATTCTCAGCGGTCCCAGTTCAAACCTGTGTGACCTCTTGCGGTGGCCATGATGGAGGGGTTAGCTGCCGCCGCAAACCCAGCAGCCTGGAAACGCAGTGGGCAAAAGCAATAAGCGTCTACCCTCGCTCACAAGCCAGGGCCACCTGGGCAGTGCTGCTGGCCCGGGCCAGGCTGTGCTGATCTCGGATGGGCCCGTTCTGGTGGCTGGAGGTTGGCTGCCCGATGACAGCTCACGCCCCAGCAGGCTGGCCCAGGCTTGTTCTCAGAGTGGTGTCAGGATTCCTTCCCAGATGGAGTGGAAGCTGGAAGGTCTCCCAAGGATCCAAGCCAAGGCCAGCCCAGACTCCAGGGCCGGCGAGCGGTCTCTGCCCACTCAGCGGGAGGTGCAAGGGTGCAGGGAGCAGGCGGCAAGGCAGGGAAGCCACCCCCGGCTTAGGGCCTCCATCCCTGCTGCTGAGAAAGGCTGACACCGCCGTCCTCAAGCCTCCCCTATTGACTGATGGCCACGTCTCCATCTGTGCATGGCAGATACGTCCATGTCTCCGTCAGTGACAAACTCGGTCGGCCACCCGTTCCCAGGAGGTCCAGCAAGTCCCTTCCCAGGCAGCTCACCCACCCGGGCCCTCCACAAGCCCCCCTCCTCTGGGGAGCACCTGCTCAGGTGCTGGCTGCGCGAAGCTCTGTGGGGCTCCACCCTCAGGTGACCCTGGACGTTGTCTGCGGCTTCTGGTTGCAGGTAAGAAACAGCAAAGCCAGCGGCTACTGCCTGGACCAGGGAGCGGAGGACGGCGACCGGGCGATCCTCTACCCCTGCCACGGGATGTCCTCCCAGGTAGGAGCAGCAGCCACCCACAGAGCTCCCAAGGGGAGCACCCCAGGCCACCCAGACCCCACACCCTGGGGCAGAGGCACGGGGCCAGCCTGCTGGGGTGTTCTGATGCCACCAGGGCTGCATCCCAGGGCTTGGAGCAGCCTGAGGGCCCCTCTAGAAGAGGCCTCCCAGCCTGCCCCACCTGGAAGGCAGCAGAACGTGGTGCATTGAAAACAGCCTGCGCCGGGCGCAGCGGCTCACACCTGTCATCCCAGCATGATGGGCGGCCAAGCCAGAGTCTGCTTGATCATGTAAGCCCAGGAATTGAGACCAGCCTGGGCAGTGTGGCAAAACCATCCCCACCTGGGCGGGACTCCCCTGCAGTGCGGGCCCAGCCCCGTGGAATCGGCGGTCAGAGACTGGCCATAGTGAAGGTCCGAGCCATTCTGACCACAACCTCCATAAAGAGCTGGGCATTTCTAGCCCCACGGGAATGCGTGTTCTGCTCACACACGGCGCTTTTCAGTGAGCTCTGCATGTCACCCAAAGTAAACCCGACTCCTGTCCTCCCCGAAACGAATGGGGCCACGCTCTGAGTCTGAGCCCGTTCATGGCGTCTGTCGGGAGCCTGGCCCTGCGGAGCTTCTGGGCGCCGTCCAGCCACATCCCCACGTGGGCCCTGCCCGGCAGGCCTCTCCCACCCACAACAGTGTCCCCAGGGTGGGAGGCTCCAAGGCAGCCGCTCAGGGCCCCGTTTGCAGCTCACGGCAGCTCGCACAGCCTTTCCGTGCTTACCAGGGAGAGCCTGGGCTGGAGCACGGGCCACGGCACCCCCGGGCCTGGACGCTGCTCACACACAGCCCCGGTGGTCCTGTCCCCAGCTGGTGCGGTACAGCGCTGACGGCCTGCTGCAGCTGGGCCTTGGGCTCCACGTTCTTGCTCCATGTCTGGGGGATGACGGCAGGGCCGCACGCACACCCTCCGAGGAAGTGTGAGGATTGGCAAGGCCACAGCAGGCGGCTGTGGGACTTCACCAGGTCACCTGGGCAAGGGGGGCCGTGGGGTTTGGCAGGGGCGCTGGACCGCTGGGGCTTGACTAAGAGAGCCACTGGGTGAGAGCTGGAGTGGCAGTGGGTTGGTTCAGGGAGGGTTTGGATGTGCTCTCGAGGGCCCCGATGCTCGCAAAGAGGGCAGGTGACTGGCCAGGGTCACACAGCCAGAGAGGGGCCGGGCTGGACAGTCTGATCATAGCCCTGCATCTGCCTCTTCCAGCCTCAGGTGGCCAGGGTAGAGGCAGGATTTAGGGAGGGGATGAGGTGTGATTCCGACCTGGGCTGCTCTGCAGGAACCATGGGAGATCCTCAAAGCTCCACTGACGTCAGCCCCTTCCTGGTCCCCGGGTGCTGCTGTGATGCTGGGTTTCCATTCGAGCTGCCCCAAGAATGAGCACAAGGGCTGAGAGCACGAAGCAGCCTCCCTGGGGTGGGGGTGGGGGACGAGGACGCCTGACCCCGGCTGACTTGGTGTGACTGTCCCCACAGAGTGGCCCCATTGTGAGCCGGGCCACGGGCCGCTGCCTGGAGGTGGAGATGTCCAAAGACGCCAACTTCGGGCTCCGGCTGGTGGTGCAGAGGTGCTCGGGGCAGAAGTGGATGATCAGAAACTGGATCAAACACGCACGGCACTGACCCCACCTCTGCCTGGACCCCCACGGACCTCGGGAAGGCACTGGGCCAAGCCAGTGTGGCTGAGTGGCTGGGGTATGCCCAGCAGACACAGCAGGGCAGGGCTCTATGTGCGGCCAGGACAGCAGAGGCCAAGGGGCCGGGGTGTGGCTGAGTGACCAGGGTGTCAGCCACTGCAGCTGGAGTACAGCTCCTCCTAGGACAGGCGGCTCTACCCAAGGGAGGGCGTCTGGGGACAGTGACGCCGACTCAAACACGTGCCTTCTCCACGGTATCTCCTGGCCAGGCTGCTGGGACAGCCGCCGCCTCTGCATGTACCACAGCCCCCTACGCCCCACAGGGTGGCCAAGCCCCAGACCAGGCGCCAGGCGGCGCCCCGGCGTCCTCCACCCGCGGCCTCCCATGCTCCAAGCAGCCTCCCCCAGCCCTTGCAACCGCTCAGCCCTCCAACCGAGACCTAAGTCACACGTCACAACGCAGCTCATGGTCTGGTAAGAGGGGTGCTGGGGGACATGGACGGCAACAAACCTGCAGCTGTGTCTAGGAGGCTGGTGCGACTGCCTCAGCAGAGACCAAATAAAGAGGATTAGGCAGCAGCGCTGTGTGTGTCTTCCTTGGAGCTGAGCTGGGGGGTGGGGCCTGGGCCCTGCCACAGCCCAGCCCCTCGCCTGTTTTAATAAATACAGTTTTATTGGCGCCCAGCCATGCCCATTTGCTTACTATTGTCTGTGGCCACCGCTGTGGGGCTGTCGGCGCAGAGTTGAGCCATGGCCGCGTAGCTCACAAAGCCGCAGACGTGGACTCTGGCTGACGCCTGTGCTGGGATGTGGCCCGACAGGTGGCCTCACGTGTGCAGACAGACCATGAACTCAACACAGCCAGAATAATGGAGGAGAGCACATCCCCTGTAGCCGCACATGGCAGCTGGAGGCCGTCGGCCTGAGAACTCACCCGAACAGAAAACCAAACCACGTGTTCTTATTCATGGGAGCTGAATGCTGTGTGCACACGACACAGAGAGGGAACAGCAGACGCCAGGGACTCCAGAGGGGCGGGTGGGAGGAGGACGAGGGCTGGAAAACCACCTGTCGAGAGCCGTGTCCACTCCCTGGGTGAAGGGATCGTTAGAAGCCAAAACCTCAGCATCACACTATATACCCACATAATAAACCCACACATGTATCCGTGAATCTAAAATTTAAAAAAAGCAGGCCCGGCACGGTGGCTCACGCCTATAATCCCAGCACTTTGGGAGGCTGAGGTGGGTGGATCAACTGAGGTCAGGAATTCGAGACCATCCCGGCTAACACGGTGAAATCCCATCTCTACTAAAAATACAAAAATTAGCCAGGCGTGGTGAGTGCACCTGTAATCCCAGCTACTCTGGAGGCTGAGGCAGGAGAATAGCTTGAACCCGGGAGGTGGAGGTTGCAGTGAGCCAAAATCACCCCACAGCACTCCAGCCTGGGCCACAGAGAGAGACTCCATCTCAAAGAAATAAAACGATAGGCAGGTACCAAATTTGGCAAGTCCACGCTCGGAGTCTCCAGGGAGTGCGGACGCTGACCTGTTGTCACCAGTCGGAGTTCAGCCTGCAGGGACACTTCACGTCCACTAGCCCTGGGGGAGGCGGTGGGGCCGCGCTTCACTGCTCCGGGGTGGCGTGTTCCTCCCCCAGCACCCTGCCGCTGGGGTGCCCACCCACCACACGGCCCCTCTGCTCAACCCCTTCCTCTGGGACTCCCCGGTTGCTGCTTCCTGTTCCTGTAAGAAGCCCTGAGGGGTCCCAGTTCCTCTGTTCTCAGCAGAGAATTCTCCCAGCCCCAGCCAAGCCTCAGCCCTCTGCTAGTCCAGACCTTGCCAAAACTCTGTGGCAACACACGGGCAGTGAGTGGGGCCCCAAAAGTCAGTGGCTTGCCAGGGACCTCCTTCCCCCCCGCCGACCCCCAGCCAGACTCACGGGACTCCAGAAGTTTCCCAGGCGAAGTCAGGATGTGCAGAGTCCCTTAGCTTGCAACGCGCAGTGCCTGTAGTTTAGACCAAGAGGATAGCAGGTGCAAACTTGGCTCGCTCACACTCCAATTCATTAGGCAAATTGACAGGCAAGTCAAAACTGGCTTGTTCGTAGCCCACACAGGATCCCACGTAAAACCTGACGCCTGGAAAATTACTCTGGAATCCTCAGTAGAACTCCCGCCCTCCAGAGAAGTGAGCATTCCTCCTGCTGACGGAAGCCTAAGGCGGCCCCACCTCACCTGGCCCAGCCCCTCCTCCCTGGCACCAGGAGGAGTCCCAAGGGGAGTGCCTGGGGAGGCGGGTCCCTGCAGGGCGGCGGAGGTGAGGCACTGTCCACGCTTTCCGGACAGGAGACTCTTCATAGGCGTGACCTCGACGTGGTGAACACTCTGCTTCACCAAAGACACCCCCAAGCATCCTTATTTCCCTGACTATTCCCCTCTGTTCTTACCTGCTTCAGTGGTCACACGCCTCTCGAGACCTGCCCCTGTTCCGGAGAAAGTGCCCATGGATCCTAAAGATCATTTAATCTAAAGAGCTCCCCACCCTCGCACGGGTGGGCCAGAGCTGGAGACGTCCCAACGTCTGCTGCTGCCGCTGCACCTGCTGCCACACGGTGTCACTGTTGAAGACGGTCCCTGCGCAGCTGCGTGGCCACCACTTGGCCGTGGCCACCACTTGGCCGTGGCCACCAGGACATCCTTGCTGGCCTAGACTCACGCCTGCCTCACAGGGTGCCCCACGTGGGGAGCAGCCATACCTGTTTAAGTCACAGTGACATGCTGATGTAGATCGGATGCTTGTCCCCTCCAAATTTCAGGTTGAAATTTGACCAACATGGAGGTGGTGCCTGCTGGGAGGTGTTTGGGTGGATCCCTCATGAACAGTCCAGTGCTGTCCTCATGGTAACTGACTCTAGTAGTTCCCAAGGGAGCTGGCTGTTAGAATGGTCCTGGCACCACCCTCCCTGCTCCCTCCCTCACCACGTCCCCTCTGCTCCGAGTAGAAGCTCCCTGAGGCCTTCCCAGAAGCAGATGCTAGTGCCAGGCTTCCTGCAGGCCTGTGAGCCAATTACACCCCTTTTCTTTATGAATTACCCCGTCTCAGATGTTCCTTTATATACAGAGCAAAATGCCAAACGGACGGAGATACGCACTTGCCCTGACCCCAGCACAGTCCCTGGGCTCAGGAAAACGTCAGCACCGTCCGTGGGCTGTGCCGTCCGTGGGCTGTGCCAAAGCCACTGTGATCCCCTAAACCCTTTGACACGTGTGGACACGTCCCTTCCTGTAAGGCACAATCACTCCTCATGGACTTCTCTGTCCTGTTTCGTAACCATGGGTCCTTGGTTGGGGTCACCCCAATTGTATCAGGTGGGATCCAACCAGTCAAACAAAGGGGATTTAATATGGAGGACCGACTGCCCAAGTGAGGGAAGAACCGAGGCTCTGACCAGGGGACGATGAGTCGGCCCAGGCTCACAACTGCCGAAACCCCTACCCACACCCACGGGCTGCAGGGCCTGGGAGCTCGGGCTCTGGCGGTCGGCGGGGGGCCTGCAGCAGCCAACTCCAAGCTCAGAGACAGCAGGCTGGTCACCTGAAATGGTCCATGGTGGACAGACAGACACCACAGCTGGCGACGCGACACGCCACGGCTGTGCTTCCAAGAGTTGGTGTCAGACACTGGCCAGCACACCCCCAACTCACTCTCCCAAGACCCCCAGACGCAGAGCACCTCCCCAGTCCGACAGACACGACCGAGACACAGGGCACCTCCCCAGTCCGACGGACGCGACCGACAGGACGCACAAGAGATCCCTTTCAGAGCAAGGTCTACGGAAATGCCAGTTCCTGTCCCAGATCTTCAGAAAAACTGCGGCCATTCTCTTCTCCTAAGAGGAGGAGGAGGAGCAGGAGGGAGGAGGAAGGACAGAGGAGGACGAGGGAGGGAGGAAGATGTTTAAATAAGGGTGAAATTTTAATCCCATTTATTTCTTCAAATACCTTAGGTAGTACTGAGCACTCCTGTGCCCATTAAGGAGAAACAGAGGCTCGGAGGAATAAAACGACTCTGCACAAGACACACCGTCACACAGGCAAACCCGGGGGTCCCACCCAGATCCATGTGACCCCAAACCTGCGACCTTCCACCCTGCCTGGCTGCCCAGTATTTTTTTCTTTTTAAACAGTCATGTTCTAAATGGCAAGGATACGAACAAATAGAATTTAATAAAACTTAATAGCAGGCCTGCTTCTCACATGGATTCAATTAAAATCTGGCTCTGCAGCAGATTCAGAAAAATCCATGTCGTCTGTTTGACACGGTTCATTGGCACCTGACAAGCAGGGCTCGGAGCGGCCGTTACGGGAGCAGGCACTCCCCCAGCCCGATGACCGGGGCTCGGAGCGGCCATTATGGGAGCAGGCACTCCTGGTAGAAGCAGTGAACAAACACATCATTCTTCTCCTTTCTTCGCTCTTGATAGAGATCATGGGCGCCCGAATTTAATTTTGCCTCTAATAAAAATGCCCATCGCCTGATGAGTCTCATTTATGGCTCAGACCGACTTCAAGAGTGGGTCCCACAGGAAGCAGCGTTCAGGGGGGTCTGTCCCCAGGGCGGGGCAGCCTTGAAGGGCCCCAGCAGGGGTGCAGGCCAGGCTGGTGTTGACCAGGGGCCCAACCACACAGAGCATGGGCGTCTCCCAAGCACCCCATCTTCATCACAGGCAAGTTTAGCTCTGGTCGAAGCAAGGGGAAGGTGAAGGGCAGACTCCAGGGTGGGGGCCCCTCTGAGGGGGCTGCAGGGACAGCTCTGGGGTCTGCAGAGAGGGGCAGCAGCAGACACACCTGGGCACCCTCTCCTCGCTGGGCAGCTTTGGGGAAATCACTTTCTCCTTCTGAACTGTGTTTAATTCAAACAAGGAAGAAATAATACGGGCTCCGAAGCTTTGCTTTGAGGATTAGGAAGAAAGCACATCATAGCTGTTACGTTCTTGGGTGGTTTTGATTTTTATTTGCTTCTTGTATTTCCTAAATTTTCTGCAAAGAAATGTGTCTGCAATGAAGGATAATTGGCTCTTTTGTTTATTAACATTCATTTGACACCCACTGCACAGCAGGCGCTCTCCCCTCACAGCAGCGGCCCGTTCCCGAGCGGTGCCCGGCTTCCCGCCCCAAGACACAAGGAGGGCTTCTAGAGGAATCACCGTTCACCGTTCACTGTTGTCCGGCAACCAGGCCCCGTGCTGGAGCTCACTGGCTGGCCCACAGGCCGCATCTCACACCACGTCCTCCCTACCTGCCAGGCACTGGCTCACCAGCCTGCTGGGCCTGTGACTGCCCCAGTCCCAGTCACAAGGTCCTCCCATCTTTGTGCCCAGTGCTGCCGTAACACAGGACCAGAGCAGGCCGCTTCAGACAGCAGAACTGATTCCCTCACAGTCCCAGGAACAGAGTCCAAGGCCCAGGTACCGGCCTGGCTCCCTCTGAGGGCTCCAGGGCTCCTCCCGCCCCCTCCCTCGCTGGGCCTGACCCCTTCTCTGCTGCCGGTGGCCTGTTCCCCGCCCCACCCCCATGT